CCTCAAAAGGTTGAGCAACTAAATATTAAGTTAAGGGTTCCATCATTCTTGTCCAGGCCTGTTTCATGAGTTTATTTTTTTAAATAATTCTGTTGAACCACGGTTCAAAAGCAACGTCTGATTCTCATTGGTTAATTTTCATAGAATTTGTATTTATTGTTACTTTTGTCAGATTCAAGTTATTTCTGTGACCGTCGTGGGTTTTTCTTTCTTTAACGAGGAGTACCAACTATTTTGTCCACGTGTGTGTGAAGGTCTTTACTTGAGTCAGATGTCCAATTTTAAACATTCCTACTTTATTCCCTCGGCTGTTTGCATTTCTCTGTATTCTTCATCATTAAGTTTTTCTTTGCCCTAAATATAATGGAAACTAAATATTTCCTCACTCTGCAGTCTGTTTGCCACAGCACATGTCAAAGCAGTAAGTTTCGATTTCCTGGAAGACTGGCACAAGAATGAGCCACACCTAAAAACTGTACCAAATGTTTCTCCCACATCACCACGATTTTACTTCACTGATTACAAATGTTTTAGACTCACTTTTCTAGATCTGAACACATACATCTGCTGTAATACATCAGTGAATTCAGCAAAAGTTAGAACCACATCCCAACCTTTGTAGTCATCAAAAAAAGAAAAACAGATCTTAAATCCAACTGGCTGATATAAATTAGGTGAAAACATGCAGCACTTTGGTGTGTTCAGTCCTTCCTGCTTCTCTTCTGGACAGCTGAGGGAAGATGAGCAGAGATCCAGCCGACTGCAGGCAGACGCACAAATGTGTGTGAGTAAGTCTGCAGCCGGAGAAATGAAACTGGAAGTCTCAGATTAGATCCACTTCCCTTTCAGAATAAAACACTCTCCATAAGTGAATTATTGTGAAATGCATTATTTCCTCTCATGAACAGTGTAAAACAAATACAGGCCCCAGGGTAGAAACAACAAAAGTACATACAGCTGTGATCACTGACACACAAGTTAGAAGACCAGTGTTGACTGAAACAAAACTGAGCACACCTAATGTAGATGTTGATCAAATAAGCTGTGAACACCAGAACTTTCAGAGTTTTAGACCTAATGGCTGTTTCCATCTGTATGTCTGCATCATGGCTCTACATGGAAAAGAACTGCCAGAGAATCGAGAAGATCTGACAGTGACTTCACAACCATGGAGAAGGATACAGTAGGACCAGTGCC